GGGTCCACATGGCTGCGCCACCCCGTTTTGGCGCACCCGTCACACAGTGCGTGGCCCCATAGGGAACCCACCGAAGGCCCCAGCGGCAAAGTCCACACGGCGGCGCCGCCCCGTTGTGGCGCACCCCTTCACACGGTTCGTGGCCCCATACGGAGCTCCACCGACGGCCCCAGTAGCAGGGTCCACTCGGCGGCGCCGCCCCATTTTGGCGCACCCCTCACACGGTTCGTAGCTCCATAGGGAGCTCCACCGAAGGCGCGCCGCCCCATATTGGCGCACCCCTCACACAGTTCGTGGCCCCACAAGGAGCTCCACCGGAGGCTCCAGTGGCAGGCTCCGCCTCATATCCTTCGCGGTACTCGCGGCTGCATATGGTTTGGTCCTTCGTCAGGCTATGTTTGTTTGTTTGTTCCCTCCCTCTCTCTCATTTGTCTCTCTTACTCCTCGCCAGCCTCTTTCCAAACAAATGACCCTCCGAGCATGGTCTTCGGAACTCCAGCCCTGTGCCAAACGGCATGGGGCTGGAATTTCGCCAGAGGAGTTTTCACGAGCTGTCAATATTGTCTCCGGCATTCTCATTATATTTCCTCTCTCGTCTTCTCCCTGCGCCTCTCTCCCACATACACATTATACGCATCCCCTTCCTTAAACATCACAAGCGCATTCCACCAAAAAGCGAAGTAAAGATATCATATGTCCACGCAGCACGAATCCGCTGGTAATCAGTACCTAAGGATTCGATTAGAAAGCTTCATCGTCGGAGCCGTTTGGAAAGCACTGCTGAGGGCTTCTATTGGACAGCATCACAAGAGAAATCCTCTGAGAAGCGCCACGAACATATTCTATTGAGAGCCTCACATCAGGAACCGTTGGAAAGCGCCAAACAAGATTCGAATGGAAAGCCTCGCCCTCGGAATTCTGTGCTAAGTGCTACGCAGCAGGGGTCGATGAGACAACGCGACAAAGACATGTTGTCCGACACAATCATACTTGGAACATGTTGGAAAGCGTTTCAGAGGGACTGTGAGGAAACTTTGCACTTGGAATCTGGTGGAAAGAAATCTTTAAGACTGTATCGGACGGTTTCACAACAGAGATCTTTTGACCAACACAAAACAAGGTTGGATTGGAGCGCCCGCAATAGAAATCCTTCGAAAATCACCCCAAAGTGTTTCTGTGGTCTCGCAACAGGAATCCGATCGGAGCCGCAATTAGATAGGACAACGTCGTAAACGAAACCGTTTGGAAAGCATGGCTGGGGGGTTCTAGTGGGACGCATCACAGGAGGAAACGTTTGGACAACATTAGATGTTCGATCGGAAGGCATCGGGCATGGAACATTGTGCGAAATTCTACGCAGGACCATGGCGTCACGACAGGGATGATTTGGAAAGCGCTGCCTAGCAACAGGCATTTTGTTAGAAACAAACATGAGTGGAATCCGATGGAAAGCGCCCCAAAATGATTATGTGGTAAGAGGTTTGATCGGACGGCCTCGCAGTAGAGATCCTTTCAGCAGCGCAGCAGGATGGATTCGATCGGAGCTCCTGCCAACATGAACCCTTTGGAAAACACCACGCAGGGATTGGATGGGAAAGCCTCACAAGAGAAATCCGTTGGAAAGCAGCGCAGAGGGCTCCTACAGGAAAACATCACAACAAAGATCCTCTGGAAAACGCGACGACGGGCTCCTTTTGGAAAACTGGAAAACACAACAAAAAGGGATCCCCTGGAAAATACGACACGTGTATTCTATTGAATTGGAAGGCGCCACTAAGGGGTTCCTATTGGGAGGCCGCGCGGGACGGAACCCATCGGAAAACACCACAGAAGGATCCCATGGAACGGCCTCACACCAGAAACAAATCTTGAAAACACAACTGAGGGCTCCTATTGGGAAGCCGTACGCAAAAAAGGAAGCCATCGGAAAGCACAACAGAGGGATTCAACCAGGACGCCTCACAACATAAATCCGTTGGGTCGCGCAGCAAGGGGATTCGACTGGAAATCCTCACGACAGGACGACTCCTTGTGAACACACCGCACAAAAATTCGACTGAACATCTCGTAGCGAAGATCTTCTGGAAAAACGCCACAGCGGGATTCTACGGGAAATCCGCACGGTGGAAATCCTTTGGATCGCGCCGCACATGGTTGCTTTGGGAAAACATCACAACTCAAATCTTACGGTAAGCACCAGAAGGATATTCTATTCGGAAGCAACGCACAAATAATCAGTTGGAAGACACAATAAAGGGTTTCTACCAAAAAGCCTCACAATCGAAATCGCTTGGAAAGCACCACGCGGAGATTCTGCTGGAAAGCCTCACAACAGGAATCCTTTGAAAAAGCACAACAACAGCATTCGATTGGAAACCGTCACAGCGATTATCCTTTGGAAAGCATCACAGAAGGATACCATGGGGAAACCTCACACCAGAAAACCAGTTTGAAAGCACCACTGAGGGTTCCTATTTGAAAGCCGCGCAAAAGAGAATCCATCGGAAAACATCACAGACGGATTCAATTGGGAAGCCTCACGACAGGAATCTGTTGTATAGCGCCGCGGAAGGATTTTATTGGAAAGCCTCACGACAGGACTCCTCTGGAAAACACCACACAGAGATTAGATTGGAAAGCCTTGGAAAAAAATACCCTTTGGAAAGCGCCACAAAGGGATTCGACGAGAAATCCTCACAATAGGAGTCCTTTGGATCGGGTTCAACTGTAAAGCATCACGACAGGAATCCGCTGGAAAACACCACAAGGAGATTCCACAAGGAAGCAGCACAAAAAAACCCGTTGGAAACCACCACGAACATATTCGATTGGAAAGCCTCACAATCGGAATCCATCGGGAAGTGCCACAAAGAGATTCGATTGGAAACCATCACAACAGGAATCAATTGGAAAACGCCCCAAAGGGATTCGATTGGAAACCATCACAACAGGAATCAATTGGAAAACGCCCCAAAGGGATTCGATTGGAAACCGTCACAGTGGGAATCCTGTGGAAACACCACAAAGGGGATTAGATAGGAAATCCTCACAGCAGGAATCTTTTGGAAAGCGCCACAGAGGGAATTCAATAGGAACTGTTCTCAACCAAAAAATGCATCGGAAAACACCCCGTATGGATGTATGGGAAACCCGCACAAAAGGACATCATTGGAAAGCACCACAGAGGATTGTTCTCCCGCCCCCGCCAAAAAGGGGAAACAAATCTATGTTCTGCTGTATTGGGGGGAACGGAACGAAAAAATAGCAGGAGGAGGAGGAAGAAAGGAGGAGGAGAATGAGGAAGAGGAGGGAGGGTGGGACGAAGGGTTGGAGGAGGAAGAGGAGAAAGAGGGGGCGACCCCCCCAAAAAAAGGGGGAGGGAGGGGCGACGCCAGTTATTTGTTTTTTTTGTTTGTTTACGATGTTTTGTTTGGGGGGCAACAATAAATAAGCCAGTGCTCCATTTGGGAAGGGGAGGAGAACGACGAGGATTTGTGCGAGGATGAGGAAGAAGAGGAAGATGAGGAGAGAGAAGGAGAGCAAGAGGAGGACTAGGACGAAGGATGAGATAACCGTAGGAAAACCATACGAAAACACCATCCGAATGGCGAGGTCTGCCACAATCCCCCGTTCCCTCCTCCTCCTCCTCCTGCTCCTCCTCCTCCCGCCCCTCTTCCCCACAAGCCGGACCCCCCCCGACCTCTGCTGCGGGCGCGGCCAGGCCAGACTCTCGAGGTGTACCCAGCCGTTCTGGTGGGGAGCCTCCCAGAGGCACCAAGAAAAGGCGAGGCGCTCTCGAAAAAACGAATCTCGATCCTCGGTCCTGCCTTCCCCCCTGCCCCCCTCCCGTTCTCCTGTCGCGACCCTGCCTTGCAGAGACCTCGGTGGGTGGTGAGCCCCCTCCACGCAGAGTCGCTGCGTCGGCTCGGCCATCCGCCTTAACACCAGGGCCGCACGCCCTGCAGAACATTAGCACAGAGCCTTGCACCGCCGGTGGTTCTGTGCCATCTCTCGATCTCGTCACTATTGTTACTTTTGTCTTAGTGATGAAAGGAAGGAGGCCGAACGGCCTTACACGGTGCGTGGCTGCAGTGGGTTTCTGCGCTTCGGATTGCTGCTCTTGCTGTTGCCGTTCTTGCCATTATTGTCGCTACTGTTCTTGTGTCGTCGCCCGCAGACCACGACTCACCGGCGACCCACCCGCGACCCACCCGTGACCCACCCGGGACCCACCCGCGACCCACCCGCCGCGACCCACCCACGTTGCTTTGACGAACAAGAATCGACGCCTGTGGCGAGCTCGTTGAAGAAGGAGTGAAAAGCATCGGCGCCTGCGGCGGGCTTTTTCAAAAACTCGTCCGAGTCTTGCAGGCTGCCGACGAGCCCTCCACGACCCCTAGCTCATATCCGCCACTGTTGGGTGGGCATGGCATCATCATTCCTCACCCTCCTGTCGAGGTGCCCGGAGGATCCCGAGCGAAGAAGGGCCTGGTGGCGGGCATGTCCAGACAGGTCTTTCGAGCCTGGCAGGCTGCCGACGACCCCTCCCCGCCCCCTCACTCGTATCCCCAACCGCGGGCGGGCATGGCATCATTATTTACCTGCCTGGAACTTATCCTTATCCCTACGATTGACATCGCCGAATCTCGAAGCCGATCTGAAGAATTATCATTGTTTCGGAGGGCACGCCCCTAAGTAAAGGGAAATTAAGACACACAAATAAATACACACAAATAAAAATATCCCCCATATTTTCCCATATTTTCTGGGTTTTTGTCTTCCCCCCCACTGCCCATATTTTCCCATATTTTCTGGGGAATCGAGGATTAATTGTGTCTGTGTGTTTCTTCCCCTCCTGACTAAGACTGTCATGGCCTTGAGCTTGCCGATCTCAGGGATAGAGATAAGCTCGAGGCTGGCCAACTGCTCCTCATCATCCTGTCGAGGTGCCCGAGGGATCCCCGACAGAAGCGGGGCCCGCAGGGGCCCCCCGCGCACGCCTCGGACAGCGTCACGCGCGTGCCCTCGAACAGCGCCCGCTGGCCCGTCCTGTGGAAGTGCCGGGTGCCCGCCCGGTGCAGGGCATCCTCCATGACCTCCCGCGGCGGAAACGCCCTGCAGGGTTTGGGCGCCCCCCCCCTCCCCCTTCCTCCCTCCCTCCTCTCGCACTGCCTCCTCCCTCCCTCCCTCCCTCCCTCTCCCTCCCGCCCTCCCTCCCTCCCTCCTTGTCTCCCCCTCTCCTCTCCCTCCTGCCCTCCCTGGCCTAGCACACCCAAAAATGAGGCAAACCAGCACATGCTGGGAAATAGTGATAAGAGCTGGGAAATAATGATAAGAGCATCGAATCATTTACGAGATATGCGCGCGCCCTAAGCGGCGGCAGCCTTCAAAGAGGCTGGTGAGAGGAGTGACGAAGGACACAAGAAAACCAACGGGCTGAGGGGAACTACAAAGAACTACTGGGATCACTTGCTACAACTGCCAGCGCGCCCTCAGCCACGCCCTTCCACGAGGCTGGACGACAGGCGAGCTGCAGCTGATCGCTGGCGCCGCCCCACAAACGAAGTGTCATGCACAAGCCACTTGCAGCTCGATCCATTTTTGTTGGATGCCCCCCTCCCTCCCGCCCTCCCTCATTCAGCATTCCTTTTCTCCCTCCATCCCCCTCGCCCTCACGCCCTTCCAGCCCTCCCTCCCAGCATAGCGCCCCCTCCCTTCCCTCCTCTCTCCCTCCTCCCTCCCTCCCTACCTCCCCCCCTCGCTCCCCCACCACCTTGCTCTCTTCCTTCCGTCCTCGCCGCTTGAAACCAGAAGCTGGATGTCCGAGCGCACACGTCAACAGTCGGACTGTCGAGCCATCGAGGTGCATCCCGTTGCACGAAGTCCCCCCGTGCTGCTCATCCTCCCCCTCGTCCCCCCTCCTCGAGGCTCGAAAGCCGAGGTTTTTGAGCGCGTTGACCCCTGTAGGCGCCTCTAGGGGACCCTGGAGGCCTCCCGAAGCCTCTGGGGACCTCCGGTGACCTCGGACTCGCTACCCCCGTCCCTTCCCCAACCCTCATCCTTCCAATCTTGCCGGTCCTTCTCGCTCCCCCCGCGAGGACGAGGAGGAAGACGAGAACGAAGACGAAGGGGTAACGGTGGTCCAGGATGAACTGCAGCGGCAGGACGGAGGAGGGCGGGGGGGGGGTATGGCAAGGCTGAAGGTCAGGTTCAAGGCAGGAGGAGCACGTGGAGGAGGAATAGCAGCAACAGGAGGCAAAACGTTGCGGACGCGGTTTTTGCCTGCCCATCAAACACGCTGGTCTCTCAAACGCAGCTTGTGCGGCTTAATGAACCTCGCGACGCTGCACATGTGGGAGCCCAAAGAAATTAGGCTGTTGGTGTTGCCGCTGCTGCTGTTGTGGTTGGCGTTGCTGGCGTTGCTGGCGTTGCTGTTGTTGGTGGTGGTGTTGATGTTGCTGTTGGTTTTGCGGTTGTTGCTGCTGCCCTTGTTTTTGTTTTTGTTTTTGTTGACGTAATTGTTGTTGTTGGTGGTGTTGTCGTTGTTGTCGTTGGTGTTGGTGTGGTTGTTTCGTTGTTGTTGTTGATGTTGCTGACCCTTCTGTTGTTGTTGGTGTTACTGTATATGTGTGCGTGCGCGCGTGCATGCGTGATTGATTGTTGTTTCTTTCTCTCTCTCTCTCTTTCTCGCTGCCTCTCTCTGTCTCTCTCTCTCTCTCTCACTCTCTCCCTCTACGCTTATACATCCATATGTATACACTGGAACCACGCGCGCTACGCGCGCGATTTGGTTCGAGTCGCACATGAGCCACGGGTGTCGCTGTAAGCCCCGCTGTGGCCAGAACGACGATTTCCAGCGTTCTCGGGCCCGGGCCATCGACGCAAAGAAACGCGTAGTCAGAACGCGGGGCGCCACGTTCCCGCGTATCTCACAATCTCGCTACCGCTTTTGTTTGGTTTATCGAACTGCGCATGTATCTCCACTTTCAGATTCGCTCTGCCCCGTCGTGACACTCAATGTTTTTGCACATCTGTTCGGTTTCCCCATGCCCGATCACGCAGGCATCCGCTGGCTCCTCATGTTGGGATTGGTTCGGGGCCTTTTTGTGCGCGCGCGGGAGAGCGTTGCTTTTTCTTTTTCGTTAAGCTCCAAGCTTCTCATTTTCAACGGTCGTTCAGCTGTCGGGTATCTGCAGAGGGCGCGCGCAAAGTCCTGGTAATCAGCGCCGTTGCAATCAGTTGCTGTCGAATCCGTCCACGGGAATGGGGGAGCTTGTTTGTGCTGGGCGCCAAACCTGATGCCGGCGATAATCGCACACGTGGGATCAGAGAAGCTTCGGGCTCGCGGGGGATGCTCAATGATTTGCCTGGCAAGTCCCATGCATGGGGTTGCCTGGAGTTCTGACGGGGCCTCTGGCGGTACCTTCTTGGCGCTCTGGCGAGGCCTGCAATCGGCGCCGACAGGCTGCGAGCAAAAGCGGTGTCACGAATCCGAAAAACTCCACGGACGGAGATCCCTCCAGCCGTCTTGGGCTGGCATGGAACAGGAGGAATCTGGACCGTTGTGACGCACCGGCCGCACGGGCCGCATCAGAACTCGTCGCGCGGGCGGCGTTTGCGGATGTCCAACCCCTCGGTCTCCACCACAGTCTGCATCAGCGAACCCGCGTCTTCCAGCACGGCGGCCCCGCGCACGCCGGCGGCCTTCTCCGCCCTGCGGCCGCCTGTCGCCCCAGCACGCGCTGCAGCATCGAGGGGGCCTGCGCCAGCATTGCAGTCGCCTCCTCCTCCTCCTCCTGCTCCTCCTCCTGCTCCTCCTGCTCCTCCTGCTCCTCCTCCTCCTCCTCCTCCTTTTCCTCCTCCTCCTCCTCGTGGCTTCTCGGGCCCCCTCCCGCCGGCGCCCTCCTGCGCCGCTTCCTCCTGCCTCGCCTCGCTCACGTCCTGGCGGGCCTCTTCAAGGCTACCACTGCGCTCCACTGCCACGTCCTCATTGTCTCGTCCTCGTCCTCCTCCACCTCCTCCTCCTCCTCCTCCTCCTCGCCCTCCTCCTCCTCCTCCTCCTCCTCCTCCTCGGCGCTCGTCTTGCGTTGCCTCCCGCTTCCTTCTGGGGCCACCTCGTCGCCGCCGTCCTGGCCGCCCCCTTTGGGCTTCCTCAGCGCATCTTCGATGCCTCCTCACGGTCTCGTCGTCGCTCTCCTGCCGCTGCTCCTTTTCCTCCTCCTCCTCCGCCTCCTCCTCCTCCTCCTCCTCTCCATCATCATCATCATCATCATCATCATCATCATCATCATCATCATCATCATCATCATCATCATCATCATCAGCATCATCATCATCATCATCATCATCATCATCATCATCATCATCATCATCATCATCATCATGGTCGCCCTCCTTCGCCTCGTCGTCCTCGGCGCCCGCCGCCTGCCCCTTCGCCTCGCGCGACGGCCGCCGCCGCCGCCGCCGCCTGCGCAGCCGCCGCCAGGCGAGCCGGGGTCGCCCCTGGCCACGGCCGCTGCAGCCGCTGCAGGATGGCCCGCGCGTTCTCCCGGTGACGGGAGATGGAGAATCGCTGGGCCAGCCTGTCCGCCGTGCTGGCGGCCTCCTCCCGCGCGCGTCGGCCGCGCGCTTGGCCAGCACGGCGAAGGCGCGGCGCGCCTCGCCGCCCCAGCTCCCGCCGTGCGCCTCCACCACCATCGGGATGAAGGTGAGGTCCGCGTCGCTGCAGGCCTGGGCCGTGCCCTGGCGCTGCCGCTTGCACTCCCCGCACCTGTCGAGGGCGGCGGCTGGGTCGGCGGTGGAGCGCGCGATCAGGTCCGCGCGCAGGCCAGACGTCGCCGCGAAATCCAGAGCGGCCAGGAGCCCGCCGCGCCACCGGGGGACATAAACATCCGCTGGCCGGCGGCCGTCGTTGTCGAATCCGTCGCCGTCCGGCTCCTCGGCGTTCGGCCCCTCGCCCGGTTCCCGCGGCGGCAGCAGTCCGGGCCGCTCCAGCTCGGCCCCCGAGGAGCCGGCGGCCTGGGCGGCAAACAAGGTGCCGTTCCGCAGCCTGTTGTGGCGGCGCGTGCGGTCGCCCTGGTAGGCGCACGCCAAGGCGTGGTCGCAGTGCACGTCCATGACTTCCCCGCACGCCGGGCAGAATAGTTCCTCGTCGATCAGCTGGGCCCAGAGCCGTCGCTTGAACCCGATCTGCATCAGGCTGTGCGGGACCGCTGTGCAGAGCGCTTCGCTGGGGGGCGCCTGCAGGTACGCGCTGGCTCCAGGCGCGGCCACCAGGGCGAGGTGGGCGCGCGTCGCGGGCGAGGAGCGGCCCCACAGGGCGGCGCGCGCAACGTCGTCGACCTGGCCCGAGAGTCTTCTGGTTGGAGTGTGTCTCGCAATCGAAGCGCGCGGTCCGGTCAGCCTCTGCCACGCTGGCGCTGTGGGTATGGAGCGCCGCGGCCAGGGCTCCAGCGTCACCCGCGTCGTCGTCTGTGTAGTCCGCGTACATAGACGCACAGAATTCGCTGCTCTCGGCGCGCGAGGAGAGATAGGCCGCAGGCGAGTGCTTCTCGGCGGAGCGCAGCCACAAGCCGCCCTTGTTCAGTTTCAGCTGCGCTTGGGCCCAGGAGTCGTCGGCGAGGGAAGCACAAGCCAGCTGTTCAAGGCAGGAGGTGAGGGAGGGGGCACGAAACCTGAGAAATTGTATAGTATAGCCACACCCCGCTCGCTCGGGCGGGTCCGCCCTGCAAGGGTGGGAGGAGGAGCAGTAAGAATCGCTGACATTATGTGGTGTAGGGATGCCGTGCTCTCTCTGGCGGGGGTTCCCCTAACGCTCTCTCGGGGCTTGCCCAGGACGGGAGGGGAGAGCACGAAACCTGAAGAAAGTTATGGTATGGCCACACACCGTACGCTCTGACGGGGCTCCCCCGGGTGCGGTGGGAAGAGCAAGACAAAAACAAGGACTGCTTTATGGTATAGCAACACCCCTCTCGCTCTGCCGGGACCGCCCTTGAGGGGTGGGAGGGGCAAAACAACTTGTGAAATGATAGGGTATAGCGATGCCCCGCTCGCTCTGGCGGGGCCTGTCTGGCGCTCTGGTGGGGCCGTCCCAGGA